CCATGCACAGCAGGTCACCTGACCTATCCAATCCTTCCAGCAGGTTCCAGCACATGCCAAGGTATACCAGCTACTTCCATGTCATAAAGGCTTAGTCATGTCTCTTGACCAAGCAATGAGCTGGTGCCCTGACACAGACAGAACTATGCTCTGACAGCCTCCCCTTCCGATCTTGAAGGGCTGATGACCTGCCTGAAGGAGTGGCCCAAGTGTGTGCTGAATGCAATCTCTGGAGAGACAGGAGGGTGCGAGGAGGTCTTCCTCTTCAAGCCTGAATGTGCCTGCTGGACTTCCTATGACTTCAACACTCCAAGACTAGTGAAGCATAGCAAATGGCTCCTGTGTCAATTCCCCAATGTCAATGTGGACAGGTCTGATGTGGAGGATGAAGTTCGCCAACTTGCATATCCCAACATTTGAGATGCATGGTGCAAGGCACAGCATCCAACTCCCCTGCCTCCTCCAGCTGTGCCAAAAAAATGTCCCCATTGACCTCAGTGTCCCAGGCCGAAGGTTGACCTGGATCTCATGGTATTCTCCCCAGAAACCATTGACCTCACCAGCTCACCTCTGCAGGCAATGGTGCTTTGCAAGACATCACTCCCTCCCTCATTGCTCCCTCTCTCCTCCCCTCCACCTTCCTCCCAACCCTCTCTGCTTACTCTGTTGTGCAATGTGCCTGTGCCTATTCTCAAGAAGCGTGAGATTCCCTGGCCTGCTCCACAATCATTCAAGATTATCTGCAAAGACACAGCTGTGATATGTGACCTCATGTGAGTTGACAGCAAGAAGTGGGAGGATGCCTTCTTGGAATACTATGTTTTTTCCATGCCTTATGCCACTTGGGGTCAGCATGTGGGCTACCTGCAGAATGACAGGTTGAGTGGAATGCTGGCAAGGTATAGAAAGGAGCCTGAATGCCCCTGGATGGAGTTTGCCGGTGAAGCCAGGCACTTCCTTGAAGATCTTTGAGCCGCAAAGCATAAAGCAGGCTTGTAAGTACCCCACGTTGGATCTTTGTTATCTCTCAACTATCACCCCTGCACTTGTTGTGTAATACCATCCCCACATTCATTATCCACTGACCATTCACATGCTCTTTACCTAGCTTAGCCGACTCCTGATAATAAACATTTGTTTATCCCAACCAGACTCCCCTGCCTTCAACTCACCTGCCTTCAACTCCCTTGCCTTCAGCTCCCCTGCCTTCAACTCCCCTGCATTCATGTTTCTGCCTTTGATGCTCCTGCCTCCATTCAACCCAGAGTAGTCACACGTAGCTTGCAGTTGGAACATGATGATAAAAATTGTCAACTATGACAGTGGGTACATAAGGTCTACTATTGCAGTTTGCAGGCAGGAATATGGTGTGGAAATTGATCACTCTTGCAAAGTGATCTTTCGAGGTCTTCATTGTGCGCCTTGATAACCTCATCCAGGAAGAACTCATACCAGACAGGCGTCATCTCTTGTGTTTGGGTACCAAATCTCCTCAGCCAGGAGTTGGCTTGTTTGCAAGCCAACAAGTTGAATATCCACTTGTTTCGCTTACCCTCATTGCACAGCTCTGGGTACAATGCCAGATTGCAATACATGTTGCAATATTCATCCTTCAAGTGCTTTCCGTTCCAATGAAACATGTCAACAATGAGAGTTGTGTGGGCAAAGTGTTGGCGAACGTCTTCCAAGCAGTTTTCAAGGTGTTGGCAGAGATTACAGTTGTTGTCAAAGTATAACACATCTGGCATTGATGCACAAGTCAGGAATACACTCATAACAAAGTCCTAAATCAACACATCAATACCCAAACATCTGGCCAAAGCATGAATACTTACAATCACAGAGCCCAGTGCCTCTGCAGCATAGAACATACCCCGCCCAATGATCATACCACAAGGATGTATGATTAGCTGCTCATTGTGCATTCGCTGCCTCCCAAATTGGGCATGCAGAATGTTCTTCTTGCCCTTGTGCTTGGGATACTCAGGCAGGTTGACCAGTTCTTCCAATGTGCTGTTGTGGCCTTCCTTCACTTCAACCACCACCTCATCCTGCACCTCCTCTTCATTCATATCTCCCAGCACCTCCTCCTCTTGCTCTATTCCCTCCCTCTCCTCTCTCTCTCCACCTTCACAATTGTAGGCCATTCAACAATGATGGCTCAGCAAGCTGAAAGACTTGCTGGGCACATGATAGTGTTCTTCCAGTGCTTGATGGGCTGAGAGCTTGCAGGTTTGGAACCCTGCCTGCTTGGGTTTCTCACAGCCATCTACAATGCAGATCAGTTTACGACCCATGTGCACTGCACAAAAGCGAGCCCAGTTATTTGTGAGGGGAAGCAGGCAATTGTGATAAGCAGCAAGGTCTCCCTATGGCAATGCTGTCCATTACAGCACACTGTATTATATCTGCACAACATTTAGCTTGCATACTATTATGAGGGAACTGAATCAGACCTTGGTGGCCATCCTGATCGATGACCCTCAGGCACACGTTGCAAGCATGGGCCCAATGAGGCTGCCTGTGCTTAGCCATGTATGCCTTCCTCTCCTGCATTGATGGAAACAGCCGTTTGCTTGGGTAGCTGCTTCCTCAGGTAGTCAAAGGCATGTCTGCTGCTGGTTGTGATGCAAGAGCAGGCTGTACAGGTTGAACAAGTCAGAAACTGACACTCTGTGAAGCTCAGCTGGCTCATAGAAGCCCACCAATCAGGAGGGAGATTGACAAAGTGCTTGGTCATAACTCTTGGTGTTGGCAGATGTGGATGTGCTAAATGAATGTCAGCACACAATGAAGATAGTGATGAGAAGATAGGACTGTGGGTTAAAAGTGGTTGTGTCCATTGGTCATGAGAAGGAAGAAGATACTCACTGAGCATGAACTGTTTGAGCACAGAACATCTTGCACACTTGCCTCTCAAACAGCATATGCTTTTCACCCTGTATGATTGCTGGAATCCCCCCATAATACACCCTTGTTCCCAGTCCCTCACTATCCACTTCCCAATAGTAATTGAGGAAGTATGTCGACCTGCATGACTGGCAATGCAGGGAATTCACCAAGATGGGGAATACCCCACACCCCACTGTGTATAAACTGGCATAATGTCTCTGGGGATTGTGTAGAGGTTGATGTCACCCATGGCTCATGAACTCAGCACAGGAGTTTCATACACAAACACAAGTAGGCAGGTAGAACTCCTCAATTGCTGGTGAGAATGTTAGCCTGCCGCTTCATCCATTTTAGTCAGGCTTACCAAGGTTAAAACCTTGTGCCAACCAAGCAAATGGCTTGAAATCATCAATAATGGGAACATAGGGTGCCAAGACATCCAAGCCTGACTGCCAAACAATGGTCCGCAGTGTTATCCAAAGAGCTGTGACTTGAGCCAGGGATGCATCCATAGCATTTGCCAGGAAAGCCACTGCAGAGTTGGGGAGTGCATTAGGCAGGTTATCCAGATCCCCAACTGAAGTAATCTGCTGCCAGGCGATGCAAGTCTGAATACAATGAGCAAGAGACAGGAAACAGAGGACTTGTTGCACAGAAAGACCCAATAACAGATGTTGCATGTGCCAAATTTTCAGTACAAGACTGCATAGCTCCATGGTCAACAGTTCTCCAGTGTTTGCGCACATGATGTGGCCAGGCCTCAGACAGCCAAGCCCTCCTGTCCAGAAGTCATGTCAGGGCACTGCCTGTTACCACCCCTGGCCACCCATTTCGCCCTAGGAACAATGAAAAAACGAGCCCCTGGAACTTCCTGTGCTGGTAACTGCCTTAGGATGATTGCAGTGGCTGTACAAGACATTGTGCAGAGGACACCACAAGACTGCTGTGTCCAGACACTTGGGGTGAGACATAGTGGTGCTAAAGGCCCCTTCTGGGAGTAGTGGGATGCAAGATGACACTTGTAGGAGTCTCCACAATTTATTGGAAAGGTTTGGGAGGCCTAGGGGTGTTGCTAGGATGTCTATCTGACACTTGTAGGAGTCCCCAGAATTTACCTGGACTCCTGGGCTTCTGGTGAACACCTACAAGGTATATAAACAGTAGTACAGTGACGCTGTATCCCTCAGATTTGATCTCTGAGGAAACTCCTTAGTCTACAAGCAGTTTCTAAGTCATCTCATTGTCTTGAATCCCCTTCTACACACACCTGAACACCCTGCTCTCAGAAACCTGCCTTGACTCCACAACTCTTGCTACACTTTTCAGCTATCTATAACCAACTTATAACACCCCCTGGGACCCCCCAGTGACCCCCTTGGACCCCCCCAATAATCCAGCTGGCCCTGGTGATGTGGATATTGACTAGTACTGCTGGTTAGAGCCACTTTCAACCACAGTAGACCCCCCAGCACTTCATCTATTGTTTGGGATTAGTGTGTGGCAACCTTGCTAGACCTAGTGCCCTCACAAGTCACCCAGCAAGATGAAAGAACAGCAACATGTATAGAAAGCTAGACAAGAAGATGATGAGGGGGTGACTGTACAATGACAATGGCATCAGATAGGAGAAGGACCCTGATGCTTCTCTGGTGATGTAATTATTTAATTGATATCAACTCTGTTGACCCATATTTCCTGATTTGCTCAT